TATTAGGTTCTGAGCAGTGTCATATGACATCTATGTACCAAGTTTCATTGAAATGTGATGATTAGTACTTATATCAAATGCTGAAAATTAATTAATTATGCAAATTAGGTAATTAATATGTACTGATATTACCATAAAAACTATCAGGTCTGTGCAGTGCCATATGACATCTATGTACCAAGTTTCATTGAAATGTGATGATTAGTACTTGAGATATCAGTGGGAAAACCGTAAATTGACTAATCATTATGCAAATTAGGTAATTAGCATGTATGTTCAAAGGTTCATCAAAATCCAATGAGTGGTTGTTTAGATATCAGTGGAACAATCATGGAACAGCTAAAAATCAGCTAATTATCATGCAAATTAGGTAATTAATATGCACGGATTTTTACCAAAAACTAATCAAATCTGCGCATATGTTCAGAGCATCTATGTACCAAGTTTCATCAAAATCCAATGAGTGGTTCTTTAGATATCAGTGGAACAGTCATAGAACAGCTAAAAATTAGCTAATTATCATGCAAATTAGGTAATTAACGAGCATGGATTTTTACCAAAACCTAATCAAATCTGCGCATTGGCCCAGAGCATCTATGCACCAAGTTTCATCAAAAACCGATGTATGGTTTTTGAGATAGCAGTGGAACAGTCGGACACACATACACACACACAGACACACTAACTGCAAAGACTCCCATTATGTGCTTCGCACATGGGAGTCAAAAAGGAAAATTATACAAAGGATCCCCTTGATCATCATGGCATCTCAATCCTCTTTAATAGACTTGAAAGGGAATAAAACAGGATGGGAAAATTATAAACGTGACGGGGTATGTAAGCTTTGTAATGATGGAAAGGAGGATGTTTATCACTTTTTATTTCTTTGCAAATCAACTAACCACTTGAGAAGTAAATTCTATTCAGCACTGACCGATACAATAGCGGAAAGTGGTGAAGAAATAATACATCAAACAAAATCCGAAACTTTCTCACCCACCTATGGAAATTCAGAAACAAGAAACTGAATGATTTACATGTATGAATTAATGCTTCTTATAGATTTTTTTCTTTTCTTTTTTTGTTGTTGTTGACTTGTATGTTACTTTTTACGCCGTTTCAAAGGCTAATAAAATATTATTATTATTATTATTATTATTATTATTATTATGCGACGACTCCTTCGATTTAAATATAATTTGATTGTAGTACCTTTTCCAAAGAAAATGGCAATACATTTCAAAATGTTGTCACGTTATTTACTATCAGAGCAGTGGCAGCGTCACGAAATTTGGCATGGGAGCATCTGCTCAGCAACCATGCGCCAAATACCTAATTAGGGTTCTGGGGGCATGCTCCCTCTTAAAAAAATGAAATCTAGATCCACTGAAACGATATTTCCTGTATTTTGAGGGACAAATTTTGCTGACACAAAGGGTTTGGAGGGGCGAAGCCCCAAACATTTTTATGAGGGGGCAACCCCCCTCTGTCCCCATGTGCCGCTGCCACTGCAGAGTTTCTCAAAAACTGATTTCAGAAGACATCCTGCCATCATGTCAGATCTATACTGCTAGTTGTAGCATCTGAAATCGCGTGCACACTGTTACAACACTAACCTAATGTAAACATTTTCTGTACATCATTATAAGTCCTCTATAGAGGGCGCTTTTATTTATGATAACCACTAATTACGCGTTTTGTCAACTTCGCTTACTTTTTTACTCCAGCACTGAAAGAAAATAACTGATGTATATTAATGAAGGGCATAGCAATGACAGTCTTTGTTACATGGAGCTAAGTGATTACAAAAATGTTCTCAACTCAGCCCCTCAACAACTGTGTTCTCAAACACGGACTTTCGTTCAGCTAAACGTACATTTTACAAGTAATTGTGCACGTAACTGTCGCATTTAATTATTTGTTTCCAGACCCCAAACATCCCCTTTAAATCCGTTACAGATCATAGAGGGCGCCACCAAGCAATGCTGGCTTTTTGGACGGATTTTTACGAAAACTGTGCTTATTTACATTAAATTGCCCACTAAATCTCTAATCGCGTCATGATTCAAGGGCGCCACATGGCAGTGCTGGCTTTTTTAACAGGTTTGTTTTTACGAAATCCGCGCATATTTACATTGAATTGCTCGCCTATTTCTCTATTTGCGTTTAAACGCGGTGGTCGTTGCGCAGCGCGTGTTCGAATTTCATGTAAACAAACAATGTATTTTACACGCGTTGTATACGTAGCTATGATACGAAATTTGCACTTATTTACATTAAATTGCTGGCCAAATCTCTAGTCGCGTTACTGGTTAGAGGGTGCCACCAAGCAGTGCTGTTTTTTTGAACAGATTTGTTTTTACGAAATCCGCGCATATTTACATTAAATTGCTCGCCTAATTCTCTATTCCTTTCTTATCTCGCCGAAACCATATAGAATAGAAGAATAGAATAGAATAGTACTTCATTGATACCGTAAAAAATATTACATTTATTTTTTGGTTATAGACACCAATGAAGTTGAAATATTGAAAACATTAGTAACGTAATAAGTAAAAGTATATAATAAAAATAGTAAAATTAGGTTATACTACTAGTATTTTGATTGTGAAATTAATTGTTACACACATACTTTGATAATACATTTTTAAAATTGTTAGTCAGTGTTATGCATGTACAACAAATAACAACCGATCCCAAATTTTAGAAATACATGTAGCTCAGTTTTGTTTATGTCTGTTGTAGTTGGTGGCGTCCTTTAACACGCGACGCCCACAAAAAGAGATGCGCGATGATAGATAGTGATTTGACACACAATTTAGTATGAATGAAAAAAAACAAAAAAACATACAATAAATCAATGGTCAATGATATGCATTTTATACCTCAATCAGTTAACATAGGTAGGTCCATGGTTATACATAATCGTAAAAGGGCGGCTGTCGTCGTGCCGCGTCCTGTTCGATATGGGACTCATAGCGACGTATACAACGCGTGTAAAATACATTGTTTATTTACATGAAATACGAACACGCGTTGCGCGACGACCACCGCGCTTTAACACTTGATTGTCATTGATACACGTAGCTCAATGAGCCTGCTTATGTTTTGATCTCCACCAACCAATGTCTGGTAATTACCATACCACCTCACATGGGCAGTCGTAGGCAAACAATGTAAGTACTTGTATTTTACACGCATTGTTTTAGCTGCAGTTCTGTAGCTCTGGATTTCGCTGGTGTCCAATTATGAGACGAACGAATCAGACTACGGATGCAAATCCAGAGCTACAGCGAAATACAGAGCTACAGAACTGCATCTAGAATTGTTTACGCCGCATGGGGCCCATGTCGAAAATGTTGCATCATTGTAAAGAACACACAACTGATATATTCTACCCAGAATACACTTGGTCGTCATTCACCACGGTGGAGTAGCAAAATAAATACGAGCAACAAATAAAACAATAATCCAAAATATCATCCATTATATTAAGTTTCCTAAATTGGCGGTTATTGACCCCCGCATTTAGCACGGATGACGCATATCACATTTAGCACCTAAACTTTCAGTCACATTCGATACTATTCAACTCAGGCCCTCTCAATGGTGGTCTGAGCACTCAATAATAACTTTATTACATTACTATGCCATCAGAGGGCGCAGTATGGTATAAAATAAAATAAAATACAAATCATAACAAATACAGTAGCTAAAATATAAGATAAAATTAAAATTAAAAGATGTTAAATAGGAAAAAAATAATGATAGTTACAGGATTCTTCCAATGTAGAGGTGATAGCTATCATATACCTGATTTCTGTTCTGCCTTATTTAGAAACGTTGCCAGGGGTATGAAGCACGTCATTATTTTAATGAAAATGTCTGTTTTATTTAGTTTATTTTTAATTCCTATTTCTTGAAACATCTATCTTCTTTCTTTATCGAGAAATTCGCAATCTAGGATAAAATGTTGTTCGTCTTCAACTGAATTTGTATGACATTTTTTACAAAATCGCTCTTCCGCAGTCAGAAGTGCAGAAATAGGTAAATGTATATTAAATTAAATGTAATTTGGTCGTAGTGCCTTTTTCAAAGAAAATGGCAATGCATTTACAAATGTTGTCCAATTATTTACTATCAGAGTTTATCGAAAACTTATTTCAGAAGCAGACAACCACCCTGCCAACATGAAATCGCGTGCACAGATTGTACATCAGGCAGGGGGAGGGGGTGTTGATAATCACTCAATACATGGTACCCCTCTAACGATCAATGCTCTGACTGTCGGCGGCCATTTTTGTTCTGACATTCAATCGGTGATCTGCAGTTGATTTCCGGGTTGAAGCAGTTGTGAGTTAGTCAAATACTTCGTACATTATCAAGGCGATGAACCCACTAAATTTTCTCACAACCATATGTGGTGACAGGTGAGTATCCATAAGCCGTATGAAAGCTCAATAATTCAAAATATTATTTGCGATCGTCGACAGATAAGTTTTGTTTAGAGAGGTGTTCGGGATGTTCGCACAGAAACAGAATGTGTTTCAAGTTTCCGTCACTCCCCGTTCACTTCTACATTTAATTCTCGTTTGATTTTAGTTTTGCTAACTAATGCGGCGAATAGTCTTTGGTAGTTATCGTTCCTTTGATAAAAACACGTCACATAAACTGACCTTGTCTTTAAACGACACACCCGAATGCCGTAGGCTTCGTAAACAAGCAGGTGCAAAGTCCGACCTGAACTTCACTGACCGATTCTTACCCGTGCTGGCCGGGGATCGAATACGGTCAACCAATGTTTTTTTTGTCGGAATTACAGTTATCGACATAAATATCGTGGCCCTTTATAATAACAGCTATATTTCTCAGTTAATTTACTGATGATCGAACTTCACACACCATAATTGTGATCGACTGTGTTCGATTGAGACAAGCTCACCTGGTGTGCCGGTTACGTGTCGGGGACACCAACCGAGCTGAGGACAAGTTGGCATCACCTGGAACAACTTAAACCGTGTCCCGTTTTGAGAATTTCGTATGTGTGATGATTTCTACATTATTGTGCCTTGTCTTTTTGGACAGTTTTCATTTCCACATTTCTTTTTTTGTAATCAGTACTATCAATGAACTGGGCTTCTAGTGAAACAGGAAACCTGGATATAATTTGAAATGTGACATTTTCTTTCCAGTTCCTGATAATATATCAATTGTGTGAAATTATTTGTCCTTCATTTACCAACAGGCAAGGGACATTCATAACATTTAATGGATGTTGCTGTTGCAATAATCCTTGGGGAGTGTCCATAAACTTACATAATACTAGTACATGTATTAGATTTAAAAAACAATATTAAACCAAAGACAATAGAAATCTCTTTCTAATGTCTTTGATTAAACAATGTACAGTGATATAGAAAGACTGAATGATCCTTAAAATCGTAGTATTACTAATCGGTCGTTGTTCATAACCTACCTTTTACCTTTTCTGCACTTTTCAGTGATATTCCTTGGTAGCTCTGGGTCATTGAGAGCACAAGTTTTTTGTTTTGTAGAGCGATACCGAAGGATCGAACCCCAACAATTAAACTATTTTTAGGTGAGGAGAAAATAAACACCCTGTTAAAAACTACAGGTATAGGGATTAGATAAAACCAGGTCTCGCGAGCCGTGGTGATCACGGGAATCATGAGGTACAGTGTCACTGGTAATACGCTAATTTAACGCAATATTAATTAACTGATTCATAGAGACAACAGCTTCAAAAAATCGTTTGAGACAGTTTACTGTCACATAACATTTCATTGTTATGTTAATTAGCAAGCACTTCCTTGTACTGGAAGCTCACGGATGTGTTTACCCTCACCTGAGTACACAAGATTATATAGATTTTTTTTCAATGATATTTAAGGAACTGTTCTAGTTTTGGGGGACAATTTATTCTTTTTATTTGTAGTTGTACCTCTTAAGGAATCTGCATTTTTTGTCGTAGCATCCTCCTGCATTTAAACAGTCTGATGAAACAACTGATCACAGCAGTAATATTTGCGTTTATTTTTATTTCACTCAATTTATTTTATCTATCTATGAATAAAAAATACTAATAATATAATAATCTGAATAATATACTCATATCAGGTTACCCCTGAATTTGGCAATTATTAGTTTATGAATTTTTAAAGAGCATTTAGAAACTCAAAATGGCAGTTGGAATCCTGACCAATCACAGTGACTATGAATATGATGTCACTAGTGCTGAGGAATGTAATTTCGAAACGATCTGAGCAATATCTAATCAGCAATCAGTTTCGCATATAGAGGTCGGTAGAGGCAAAAGAACATCCAAAAAACAAATCACAACCTGCCATTTGAATTTGAATCTACGTTTTATAAATATTTACATTTTAAATATTAACAAAATTTGACAGTTTAACAGCATCATGGGTAATCTCAAATGAGTGTAATATGGGTAAATTGTATTAAAATAACATTAAATAAGGTTTGGTTGGTTGGTTGCTGAATATGAATCTTATCTTGGCCTTATTTTTTTGAGTTAAAAGACTTTTAATATCATCAGAAAAATCATAAATGCAGAGCTGACAACCATTACGAAAAATTTGTATTTGTTACGAAAATACAACAGGAATACGATTATAAGCCCCTCCCCGAGTATAAGCCCACCCCTCTGTTTTTGGTCGTTTAACAAGTTGAGGGCATCCCTGAGTATAGGCCCAGGGTGGTTTTACCGGGTGTCAAGAAATTTATTAAAATATGCATGTAAAAAGTGTATTTCATTGCCTAAAAATCATGATTGGTACGGTAGTTTGGTTCCAGCTTTTACGAGAAAACTCACATTAATTTCAGAGTGCATGGTGGGCGAACAAACATAGTTCCCACATTTTCTATTCTGTTATATACTTGAAATGAACCCCGATGTTGCAATACCGATTTAATCCATATTTCTTTTGAGTAGTAGTTTTCCAAATGACAAAAATGTGATCGTCAAGTCGTGAAACCTGGTCACTGAACATCATTTTACTTTTCCCGAATAGTCTTGTCCATTGAGTCTATCGTGAATGGGGTGTGAACATGCAAACTATTTTTAAATACTTTGTCAATAATCGGAAAACTTTGTCTGTATGACACAGCATTATCATGGGTTAACGAAAGACTGGAACCTGTTAGGTCAAAGGAAGTTGTTCAGATCAAATTATGATAGCGGAAATAGCTTTGTATCGAGAGTTTCATACGATCGAAAACATTTCACAACGAAGATAATGATAAAGATCTTGCCTTCGACCGTTTTCCCACAGACCTAACCCATTTTTGCACCGTAAATTCAGACAGTATGTAAACCGTATTGTAATAAAATGCGTGCACTTTTACGAACATGTTTCTTCATTGTAAAAAGTGTTGTTGTAATCATTGACGACTCGTTTCACATTTTTCCCTCAAAAAAACGTAATTTTCCTCCAAGACCGGCACTGTGAATGAAAAATATAATTTGGATAATGTTTCAAGGTTCGGGAGATGGTTACACTATTAAGCGCATCAAAAAATTATTTTTTTCTGAGGTGGTTCTTGAGTATAAGCCCACCCCTTAATTTTCCTGATATTTCATGTTCAGGCCCCTGGGCTTATAGTCGGGGAAGTACGGTAGGTAAAATACTGCAACTTAAAAAAATACAAATTTTGGATTAAAAATACAAATTTAGTAGGTGCTGAGCACCAATTCTGTTTTTCCAAGGTTGGCAGCTCTGTAAATGTGTCTGAAGCGATTTAATTGTTGTCTCAAAATATTAAATTACCGTAAAATCTGTATTACAAGCCTCATCCCTAATAGAAGTCGCACACATTCTTTTTGAATAATTGAGAAGCAAAGATTCACCATTTTTCATATGTGTACATGCTCTAATAGAAGCCACATTCCCTCTGTTGCATTGTACCATTTTAATAGAAGCCGCAGCTTCTAATACAGATTTTACAGTACACAACTGTGACATATGACAAGAATTGACACACAAAAACGTATTACAATTTCTAGTGGACCAGGGAGTGGTTGGCTGGCTGGCGAGCTAGCTGAAGAACAATTGAAAATGAGTGATTGCAACATTGTAATATTGAGCGATGGTTATGTGAGTGCCTGACCAGTCTCTATAAAAACGTATGTTGAATGCTGCTGTACTGTACACCCACATACTAACCTGGTTAGAGCTTATGCATGATCATCAAACATCCTGGTACTTTTGGGGGTATTTTCATATTTTGTCATGTTACTGTTTTTGAACATCAATAGCTACTGCTTGCATTTCTTTGTTAAATATATCCAAGAAATTCCCATTCATAGTGAATTTGTACCCTTAGAAAGTACATGTATCAAGATGTGTGTCCTTTTTTAAGTCAAGTGTAAGGCATATTCGTTGGCTAGTTTTGTTAATTGTGGGCAGTTGAGTCCTGTTAATTTTTGTATGATTGACGAAGCATGCAGAATCTTTTCTGTATTGGTCTTCACCAAAATCATATTGTTTATATACTTATAACACGCTTCTTGGGAAAACTTCATCCATCATGGCTATCCTCAAAGTCGACCTTATTGAAATGATCACCATGTTGCAAGAGTAAACTTATCTGTGAAGCAAATTACCTGTAACAATGTAATTGCTAATAATATGAAAAGGCATTACAAATGTGCATTTTATTTTTTTTTCTAAAATTTTGGTGAAATGCATACACTTCATGGCACTATAGACAACAGCATGCATCTTGACACAGTCAGAGGGCTTATGGATCAGATTCTGTCCATTTGTTCATTTGTCTGTCCGTCCATCTGTGCTTAGCATTTTACAAAAGTTCATGCTCTCGATTTACATATGCTAGATTTTTCTTGTTGATCAGATTCAAAATGGCGGATTGACGGCCATATTTAATCCAAAAATACCTTAAAAACTTAGATGGTGGCCAATTGTGGTGGCCAATTCTGTTCAAACATAGAATATCAATTTGGTAACACCTGTTGTTGACATACCCGGTACTGAGGCACATCCATTATTTTTTGGTCATTTTGGTTGATTTGTATTGCGATCCATTCTAAGATGGTAGACTGGCAGCCATTTTGTTTGATGAAAAATATGAATCCATCTTTACACAATTCTGCTTATTATCACAAATCCAAGCTGTCAAATTATGTCAAAACATGGTTCACAGATATCAACGAAACTTGTGCACCAACCCAGTGTTCTCCCCAGGCCTTTCAAGCACTGCGGGCCCGCGTCGCTTAGACAAACAGCCGCGTCGCTTTCGTTTTGCCCGCGATGCTTGAAATCCTGTCCGCGATGCTTATTCACGTTGTATTGTTGTATCAGCCTTGTCTAGCACATTTTTAAAACAATAACATGTATTAATCGAAAGGTAATCCCACCTTTGTACATGG